ATTGTAGGTAACAATATCATTAATAATAAAAAAACAGCTAATACTTAAATGTAAGCGAAAATTATATCTAATAGTAACCTGTAACAAACAGTAAAGTTGGAAACGGAGTTACATTTAAGTTATAGTTTTTTTTTTAAAAAGACATATCTACTTTTAATTTTTTGTATTCCACATTTCTCTATATAAACTCATCAAATTATTATTCAAAATTACAGACTTAATTCACAAAAAAATTAATTAAAAATGTTTTTATAAAATCAAATTAAAATTTACTCATTTGTATTGTCAATTCAGGTTATAACACATTCTTCATGCAGAAATATCTTCTAGAATATAAGTATTAAACAAACAGCTCACTAAGCATTAATTTGATGCCCCTACTCCATACTCACACATCGTTGATGTTACATGCTCACTGCGGGCCAACGGTCGTGGTCGTAGACACGAATATAATTTTTTCATACTTGCAAAAATAAATGGCGGGAAAACAAAATTCACAATTTATTTTTTATGCAATGTTGCTGTTGTTTTTTTAATTTGCCATGTAGGTTGTAAAAGGTTTTTGGACTATACAGTCTTTTTTATAAACTGACGTTATCAGGGTGTGACAACAATTTGAATTTGGAATTTTAGTTCCAGAAATGATTATATATATTGTTTTTAATTAATACATTAAATTTGTATAAAGCCATTGTATTATTACCTATTTTAAAATAATTATGAAGTATAAACGTTACTATATAAATTAGCTCGCACTCGGCAGGTTTATTAGAAAAACCAATCGATTGCCAGCGTTATTGGCTATTTACGTTAATCTCAAGGTTGTAAATCAAGTCTCTAGTCTGTAGACTGAATTGACTATAATTTATTTAACTAACCCTATACCTAGATCGATATGAATCTGTAATACAAAGCTACCGATTGATTTGAGTTAGATTGAGAGCTCATCAAATCGTAACACTCAAAATAGCAAATTGTGCACATAATTGTTTTGTGAAAAGTAATTTCCTCTGTCTTTGTGTAGTAAAACAGTAATAACTTCAGCCATCCTATATAAACTACAGGCAATGTATAAAATTAATTATAATCAAATCAACAAACCTCGTGCCAACAGCGAAAAGAAAGCATTTATCACAAAAGTTTGCAACTAAAAACTCAATCTCGATGAACTTTTTATTTTTCATGTAACATAATGAGGAAGCTTAATTAAAAAGAAACCCCTCGCTCCTTAAAAAGATTGTCCAAGTTTCCTGTTAAAATATCTATGGAATTCACTTAATTCCGATCCTACCTACTCCCTTATCCGTTAGTATAACGAATAAATAGTCTGATTATAGCACTTCAAAAGTATTTGGGTTGTTATAAGATATTTGAAAATGAATATTATCTTTTTCAACCGATTTTTAATAGGAAGAAATTGGCACTTTGCCAGCAATACAAAAGATGTTACACTATATTTTAACCAAATCATTTATACGTTTATTTATTATTACCATCATCTTTTATTCTTTACTTGTCCCGTCAGAGTATACTTTAACGCAGTATAAGTTAATAAGTCATTATTATACACTAAAAACAGCAGAAATACACTTTCCTTTTTCACTTCACTTATATTTAGACAATATTATGAAGTCTACATTATTAAAGTATCTTTCGAGTATTATGTATACATAATTGAATTTACTTAATTTAAAACGTCGTCAAGTGCTTTCTGAAAGTAAAGTGTTTGACGCTACGGAAGATAAAAGAAAATGCTCAAGATAATTCGAGGCGGGGGGTGTTCAGAGCGCTGTAACTCTAGGACTGAATATTTTTAGCCTGTCCATGATTAATCTCTCTGAAAAATTAATAATCTACCCGCAAAAAATATAAAAAAATGTTCTTTCTAACATTCTACAGCAATAAATGGGAAGTGAATGAATAATTATTAATATAGTTTCCTCGTAAGCCAATAGCACTAGGTAAAAGTATAGAATAGACAATATTCACTGGAAAGTAGCATTCCTAACTCGCACTAACTGAAGGCGAGGCCTCAAGCAGTTCCTTTAGCTATGGCATCGTCATTGCCAATCAGTCATTTCTTCCCGTAGTGAACAATATACTAAGTATTTCAGGAAAATAATAAATTACATTTCTGTAAAAGATTAATTGTGAAAATTACATAATAATGAACTTGTTATCGAGTTCATCACAATTGATGTGCTTATAAACGTTTAAACTGTTTATAAGCACATCAATAGAATTACTAATACAAGATGGTCAGATAGGATATATGAGTTAGAATATATAGTAGTGTCCATTCATAACAATTGTTCAAATCCGTTACTTCGAACAGTTTATTTCATTATATTTCTATTCATGTTTAAATTACGCAGTTATTTTATTTTACGTAAACAATTATACACAGCCAAATCAAATAACTGCTTTATTTTTATATATTTAGCATGAATCAGCAACTACGTCAAGAGTGAATTTATTTTATATTGTTGATTATTTACTAACTGTGTTTTCCAAAATAACATCATATTTATTTATTCAGAGACGTGGCAGTAACATTATATAAATAATTTATGAATATTGATTTCTTAAACTTCAGCTGAACTATGCTATAGGTATTAATTTTGTTTCTTTAACATTGAAGTATTCTATATAATTGAAGACCAAGACTGGAATATATAATTAACTATTTTTTGATATTTATCTTATACCAACATTGGAAATATTTTTAACTGAATAACTTAGAGCGATCTACAGAGTTTGCACAATGAGTACTGGACAAGTGATAGAAATAATTAAATGTATTTTATGTACAACTAATGCAAAAGCTATATTTTGAAGAACAAACATCAATAAAATTATAGCATTAATTCTCATTGGAAATCTACAACTACTCCAAGAACAAACTATACTATAAATAATATTGGTCATAGTTACCGTGACAGTCCACTACTCATAATGAATACTGGTAAAAGAATCACTCTGTATATGCAATCCTCTTTGGTAAATCCATGACAAGGACGCCAAAAAACGACAATGCAATGCAATTAAATATGATGCACATTGCATCGCTGGAGGGATGAAATGAGAACATACAAAAAAAATCTCCATTGATTTATGTGTATTTTTAGATATAATAAAACTGTAACTGATAGCTGCATGAAGCATATGAGAAAAACTATTAGCAGAACTGAAATCATTCGAATTTGTCTGTTTATCTGAGCACAAATTGCAAGCAGTCTTCACAGTTTTCACAGCACACAATGAAAATAAGTTATAATACATAACTAATTGAAATCTTTATACACAAAGATTTGAATATCTTTGTGTATAAAGATTTCAATTAGTTATGTATTATAATCTAGGAGAATACAAGCTCACTTCAGTTTTCAAACAAAAAACATATCATAATCAGTCTATTCGTTATGATTCGTTATTCGGAACTACGATACCACAGACACATAAACACACCTACACCTGCCGAGGTGTCACATATTTCAGAAGGTACATGAAAAAATACCGTTCGTGCTGACTATTGAAGATTAAATACACACGTGAGTGTTAATACAAAATGTATAAACACATCTGTGAAAGACTGCCCTTTTTTATTTATGGAAATTTATGTGTTATTTATTGATTTCTTGAAAATAACAATATGAGAGTGAGGTAGGGTAAAAGTTCATTATGGAACATCCATAAATCATAGAATAGGTTAGCTGCCACGTTTGCAGGTTTGTTTTACACAATTTTAGAATTAGAAACTTGTTTATTATTGAGATCTGTATCTTAAATGTGACCGAAGCTATTATGAAGTATTGCAATATTTAATTAGAATAATTTTGTTCTGTAAACTCCGTTGATATTTCCAGAAACGTCGAGAATTTATTAGTATTTAAAATTACATAATTTTGAGACTTTCTTGGAAACCAGGGCGCCACGTAATAGCTGTATAGCAGCTACACATAATCGAATAACATTCTATAATAAATAAGGTTGTCTATCTAAAAATGATTTTATAGAAAGAATTTTAACGATTATTTCAAAATAGAACAAAATTAAAAAAGGGATTTTGTTTATATACTTGATTGAATCAGAATAAAAATATGCAGGAAAAGTAGCAAATGACGTAGAGGTGTAGCCACAATTTAAACATTTGTATTGATTTTAACTATCATTAATCAAGTTCTCGCATAATGACCTCAATTAAATTTCCAAACCTTTAACACAGGTACCTATATACCTGTAGATGTAGTTCCATCTATAAAAATATTAATGCACCGCTTGACTTCCGCTGGTCGCCGGTTCGATTTCTCGCACAATACAAACATTTTTTTTTCATGAGTATGATTGTTCGTATTGGTCTGAGTATTTTTGAGCGCATAATATTTATGTATTTACAAAACAAAATGTATCTATCAGTTATCTAGTATCCATAACATAAGCTCTACTTAGCTTGGAACTAGATGGCGCTGTGTGAATTGTCCGGGGACATTATTATTGTTTAATTCTCAGTAAATAATATCGTCACGGCTAATATATACGTATATATATATATATTATTAGTTCCATCTACAAAAATATTACTGTTAAGATCTCGGTAAATCTAATTACAAATAATGTAATGAGATAGTAGAATATATAATATACATAAATAATTAATAATTATTTGCAATTTCTATTTTTAATATGTAGAAGCAATATTGTTATGGTCCATAAATAATGATATCCTTTATTTATTTTTAATGATTTTAGATATACATAAAAAGATTATAGAACCATTTCAAAAAAATTGTAGTTATACCTATAGTGCATTCTTTTTTAAATATTCAAATATATTTTACTGTGTTGCAATATAACAATATGAACATAACGTAAAAACCTAAGTAAATCAAAATTATTAAAGTTTCCATTACATTATTTTCTGCCTAGCTTCCACACACTCTAACATTCTTTTAATTAGTACATTCTCTATACATAAATATAGCACTCTAGTAATTACTTACCCCCGTTTTATGAAACATTTGAGTAGGTTAGTGTGCACTATTCAAGCACTACTCTTTTTAATGTCACTGATCATTATTTTACTATTTAATATTAATACTAAAACCCACTTATGTTATTACATTAATAATGAATTTACTACATTTTATAAGTTTTTATAATCGAACTAAGTTATATACCCGCGTAGTAGCGGCGTAGCGCGTAGCGAGTGTCGTAGGCGACCGTGCCTACGTAGCGACCGAGACTCACTGCCGAGTAGTGTAGCTGTAATATAGTATGATATGAAGTGAGACCTCATTTCCACTATAGCTATTAGTAGCCTACTAACACTTTTTGAGCACTTAGAAATTTTCCTTGGGCAATATAAGATTCGTACTAAGTATGAACTAATTGGATACTGAGGTAATTTCACTTTGCTGAGTTGTTATATTGTCTATTTTAGCAAATAAATATGTGAGTCAATAAACAATGCTTAAATATTCTCTACTCTCGTGTTGTAATTTCTTCTGGAAATGTATATCTAAGTAGCAAGGAACAGATAGATAACAATTATTTTAAAATTTATATTTAAAATTATGTTTAAAACACATTTTTAAAGTTTTATACTATTATAAATACCAAAGTATGGAACGATGACTATAGTGTACATTTTTATCAATTTATTAATACTATATTTAGTAACTACTATTTTCACTCTAGATATTTTGAAATAAATTTAATTCGTTTTTATCTATTGGGAAAAAAAATAAATTACATCAAGTTAAAATTTCAGAACAGACATTTTAATATTGATAACTTAAAACTAGAATGGAAATTACATTATGTAATTAGAAATTTGCTAAATTATGAATACGCAACCAGGCATTAGACTTTATAATAACATAAACCATCGAGAAAATTAATATAGAAATCTAGTAGTAAGCTTACCTATTTCGTTATCTCGTTCGTTGCATACGTCGTATTGGTCTCTTTATAAGGTTAAGGGTTACCAGTTTAATTATCCCTTTAGATAGAATTCTTTATAAAACAATTTCTTTCGAGTTTATCCTTTCTGATACCAATGTATCTATGATTTGATCGCCAGTTATAATATCATTGAAATGGAAAGGAGTGGTCACATAAAGTTTGGTCGTTTATTATATAAGAAAAATATTATTACTAAAACCTACTTATTACTAAATGTATAATACATATGATAGCGTGACTATAACAGACCTTCAATATATTTTTAACAACAGGTCAGTGTTCTGTGTTGATTTTCCTATTCGTGCAAGTCTGTCGCAGACCAACACGCACCTCTACTGTGCCCCAGCCACAGCACTAATTAATATTATATTACCTGACCCACTCTTCAATGATGTGACAAAATAGTTGTTATAAGTACAAATAAGTTTTATTAATGATATATCACATGTTATTGAAGGTTTCGTAAAGAAAACTGGTCGAATTACATGTAGTGATAATAATATAAAAAATATTAAATTATTGAAGAGCCAACGTGGTAGGATGCGGGCCAACTATCCTCCATTCGCGGTTTATTTTTAGTTTGATGTCGTTGTTTCTATCACCGAGCTATCTATATCGGTGAAATTTCATCTCAATGCCTTTTGAGTGCATACCTTGGTAGTAGACTATTAGACTACAACGCTTTCAATTTTACACGTTGTCACGTTAATAGTTATTACTATATTGTAATATTTACTAAGAAAATACACACAATTATTTTATCCAATACATTTCCTTTTATAAATCACGAACAACAATAGTATACAGTGTATAAAAGTGGTGATTATAGCTGAAACAAACGCAGAAAGTAGTGATTAAAATTAAACCAAGAAATGTAGATTAAATGAATAGTATTCGAACCGGCAATTTAATGTGTTATTATGGAACAGTAGATTGGATTGCTTATTTTAATAAGTAGTCTAATTTAGTGTTAGATTCAGTAAAATATTTTTTTTGTAAATAATAGTCAACTACCTACTAAAATGTGCACATATACAATTAGATTATTATATTTAAACTAAAACACATAGTACAGTAACCTACATTAATTATTATTGCTGAACGTTGCTGAATAGACTTCATTAGATTGTATTCGGGTTAAACTGTAACTGAGCTACATCTCATTAAAACCGAAAAATTTATTAAAGCGACTTTACATTACGCATAGCAGGAATCATAAATTGTATATAGAATGTGTATATATAACCAAGATGATCAGAAAAATTGGTATCTGAATTGAATTAGGATAGACATAGCTCAAATTTGCAAATTACGATACCGCACAAAAAAAACCAGGTATAGAGACTGCCAATACAAGAAGTTAAATAGCTGAAGAAATGTCGCTGCATAATTCATGCTTACTTATTAATAGTTATATAATTTATAGACCATAATTAATTTTTGATGTACACTTGAATAATTAAATTTCTATACTTTTCAGATATTGCTTCACTTTACCATTACCAGTAAAACAAGAGTGATGTAATATTATTACATCATTATTTTAACTTCTACCTGTTCTGTATAAACTGATTTAAAATTGCTTATTGTTCATTTTCTAAAGTAGTGCATACCTACTTTAGATCGTGCATTGTCCGTTCACTTTATTGTCGTTCCACCTTACTACGTGTTTGCAAGTCACATACTCAATTTTAGTAAAGCGATTTCACTTCATATTGCTAATTTAGGTGAATATAGCGACGTGCTTTATTCTACTAAATTGCATTGCAATAAAGACGAGCAAAGCTACGTGTATAATTTACCATATTAACTGTATGTATGTTATGTACCTAAAGAAAATAGTTCGTTCATTAGGTTTATTTCTCCATAAGTTGTGCCCTCGGTTTCACCACGCAAGAAATTTATAGCCCGTATGTTATTCTGATGTATAAGCTATATTACGGTGTAAGTATTTAAAATCATTCATCAAAATCCGTTCCGTAGTTTTTGAAAGAGTAACAAATATCCATCCATTCATCTATCAATCCATACTCACAAACTTTCGCGTTTATAATATCAATAAGAAATAAGATTGCCCAGCAATAGTTCAATCGATATGTTGTAGTGGATCGTTAATAATTTTCATAGATAATAATAGCGTATTGCTAATATATATATTTCACTACATTTAAATAGTGATAGTAAAATACACAGAAACGAATCAGATAGACCAGCAAGTAACTAGTAAGACCGCAATGATCAATACCCAGACAATCAACAATGTATTAAAATAAACAGTATACATAAATAAGTATTGCATTTCGTTGATATTAAAACCTATTTCTTTGAAAGTAATGAATTATTCACCTGAGTAGACCATACGTAAATAGTAATTATAGCATCATAACCAATGAGTATACTTACGTAGGTATACCTACTTATTAATTATGATGAAGTGTTTTCCTTCAAATACTTCTACAAAACAACTAATATTTTTTTAATTATTTAATAACAAGATAAGAATATTTTAGCTTGGTAGCTATATTCACTAAAATATTCTATAAAGATAGATAGATATGCCTATAAATAATAATACAATGAATGAAATTTGATTAAAAATATCTATAATTATAACGCACACGACTACAATATTTTTATGAATATGTTTAATCGATACACTAATACTAAATTTGTTATTTCTACATTTAGCTTTATTCTTTGAATGGTATATTAATTTTTGTGAGCAACTTAATTGGCGTGACTGAGATAATGTATTGATTGAATGAAAAATAAGGAATGCCCACTTTCGTACTTATTCCTTACAAATCCTGTGCACACGTAAATTTAATGATATAATTGGTAAACCTAAAAATAAACACGAAAATAAATTTCACTAATAATTACTAGACTTACTGTGTTATTACGGCCACTGTATTATTAGTGCTTATTTCAATTCGAAAACATCGAATTATACCAACAAGAAATATGCTTTTAATAAATTAAATCCATAGTACTTAATTCCACGTAGCCTATATCGCTATAGTTAGTATATTAATAAATTCACTAGACCAATAACTGATTAAAATAGTATAAGATGTACTAACTTCTACCCGTCATAGTCACGCGTATATTAGTATTGTTAAGTCAACAATATGAGCATCATGAAAAAACTGCAGAACGAATGGGATTGAAATTTGGCTCGTAGATAGTTTATCACCGATATTCAAATAAAGCATGACTTTTAAACCAATAAAAATATCCATGAGATACACCTGAACCAATATATAGATACGTACTTATTTTAGTTCATTTTAATAATCTGACAGGTTTCCTAAGTGTAAAAAGTGTATATACAATACATATAATAAATAATAATCGATCCATTGACACAAAACTACCTATACATAAGGATCTATTACTTTAATTCAACTCAAATGCTTTATTTATATATATTTTTATATCATATGCCAACAATAAAAAAACAAACCAGATCCTATAACGAATTTTGTATTCCATCACGTCTATATAAATGTCATCATCCAATTCCGTGTGTATAATTGTTTGTATCGGCCTGGGTGTTATCTATGTATGTACAAGAAAAATATCTAAGCATTTATATCAGTTATCTAGTACCCATAACATAAACTCTGCTTACCGTGGGACTAGAGGGCGCTATATTAATTGTCCAGGGTTATATATTATTATTTATAAACTTTCGCTTTTATAATATAAGTCGGATATAGTTAATTATGTTCAGTACTGAGATCGGTGGTAGTGGCAATGTACAATGAAGTACTCGTGTCCTATGGGTGTTCTTACCTGTAGTGTTGTTGGCAGCTCTCAGCGAGACAACCATTTAGGAGTTGCACATTTCAGAGTTAGTGGGTACACGCTTGGGGCAACTAAATATACTAAACTAACCACAATATAGTAACCACTTCTTGGTTATATTATTATTTGGTTTATAATTAATTATAAATAAGGTAATTTGTCGCCTTTGTAATACATTCTAATTTAATTGAAAATACAAAAATTTGCCCACAGACAATTTCAATTGGAGATGACCGAACATTGATAGCTTAACTTATATCTGAAGGCTAGATTTCAAAATGAAAGTAGGTTGATTTTAGACCTTTTTAGGTTAGGTCTAAAAGTGTCCGATGTAATACAGCTAATTTACAACTGTTTTCTCCATATGGATTTCTTTTATGTCTAAAGTTTTGAGATATTTCAACG